ATAAAGACTTTTGTTTACCCTGCACTCTTTCCCCATCAATTATATCTACCTTCTTTTCTCTTCTTCCCTCAAATAAAAACATTCTGTGTAAAGAATCTGCTAAAGCTAACTCCTAGATTTTATATATTAGCCAACTGTAGGCCAAAAGTAATGAACTTCAAATGAATTTAAGCAGATAACTTTCTAGTTTCCTGATTCAGATGCTTAAGGGAAGCCCTAATTTTGTCTAATCACTGGCTTGCATTTAAATTCCATGATACTAATGAGATCCACCCTAATTGAACAGATTCTTCGTGGGAAGATTTCATGGAGAATCAGAGCTATTTATAACACTGAAAAACACATTCAAAGAGATATGGGAAAAAATAAAATGAAAAAGTCTGTATTCACTGAAGTATGAGCTCCTAAACATGTTGGTAACAGAAAAAGCAAGTTGCAAAACGTACGCATAGTGAGACAAAATTTCCGTAAAAACTTAAAATCCACAAAACTATGTTATTTCTATATGTAATATGTATGTATACAGACGCATAGCAAAAAGGTAATCGAGGAGTATATACTAGAGCAACAGTTACCATTTGGGATGGAGTACCAAAAGGGCACTTTGACAATATCTATATTTTTTATTCTTTTCCCTAGAGTGCATTCTTACTTACATAATTAAATACAAAATGAGGAACTTCTGGGCCGGCCCGGTGGCGCACTGGATAGTGCGCCGCTTGGGAAGCGCGGCGGCGCTCCCGCCCGAGGGTTCGGATCCCACATACAGACCGGTTCCCGCTCACTGGCTGAGCGAGGCACGGGAGCAACACCGAGGGTTGCAATCCCGTTGCCGGTCCCCGGTCTGGTACGGGGACAACACTGAGGGTTGTGATCTGTTGCCGGACACGGAAAAAGACAAAAGACAAAAAAAAAAATGAGGAACTTCTACTTTTCTACAAAGTACTATATATGATGGTATCCTTAAAATAGTTTGCTACCGAAGATACAGTTTAGCAAATATTGCTATTGTCTATTTTTCAACATTATCATACTTTATCTTTGCTTTCCCTCACTTCTCTCTCATTGCTCTACATATGTTCAAACTGAAGAAAATCATATCTTTTCCTTAAGTACTTGATAATGAAGAGATGATACAATTGCCAAGAAGTATCAAAATCAAGAATGAGAACTGGTATAGTGGTAATAAAGGCTACTGAAGTAGGCAACCCAATCTCTTGACTTGTGGCTTTAATGAGATGTATTTGGAAATATATTCAAGCTTCTAAAGAGGACAAAATGCTTTAAGAATAAGTCTTTATGACTGTGCTGTATAACATTAACTTGCCATGTTTACTTATCTACCGAAGAGAAAATGTTGCAGTTGAAAGGCTAACACTCAAAACCACTCAGAACCACTCAGAAAGGAGATGATATACATATACATATAAATCCTGGATTGGCATTAGCAGTGCTAAAGGTCTATCAAATTAAAGTGGTATTTATTTAGAGGAGAAGCATTTCTGCTTAAAATTTGAAACTATTGAATATTTCTAATTTTTTCCCATTACATATGATACTACTAAAATAATTACAATTAAAAAAATTTTGCTCGGGCCGGCCCGGTGGCGCACTGGAGAGTGCGCCACTTGGGAGTGCGGCGGCGCTCCCGCTGAGGGTTCGGATCCCATGTGGAGACCGGTTCCCGCTCACTGGCTGAGCACCGTGCAGGCGCAACACCGAGGGTTGCAATCCCGTTGCTGGTCCCCGGTACGGGCGTGACACCAAGGGTTGCGATCCTGTTACCGGTCAGTAAAAAAGACAAAAAGGAAAAAAAAAAAATTTTGCTCAAAATTGTAATGTCTTTCTGAAAAGAGAAAGGCCATCAAATTCAGACATATGTGTAGCATAAATTTTGGCCCACAACACTAAATATATTACTGTTATAGTTGATTAAAAATAAAAGAATGGCAACATGCTAGAATCAACATCTATTATAAATCAAATAAATGTAGTTCAGTGATTTTTAATCATTAGTGACTTTTAATTATTAAAATCTAGATAACGCATTTTGTAATTTAGAAAAGAGTACTTAAGGATCTATTCAGTATCTGTATATTTAGACATTATTATGAGACTCCTGCTGGTCACTACTATCTACACCCTTTTCTAGATTTCAACATCTTAAAAGGTCACAAATTATGTATTACCTCTTTGTCACACTGTATCTACAAAGAAAACCATGAATACTCTACAATGGCAAACAGAAGTCAAAAGATAAATTTTAAAAGTTAAAGGCACAGATCAAACTACTTCCAGAGAAAATATAAGTGGTAATTATAAGAGTAAAATGTATTATCTGGAACTGATATATAAGATCAATGATCTAGACTCCTAATAGCATTTACAGAAAATTACCAATTATGTATTAAAATAAATAAACAGTATCAAATCCACTTTTTAAAAATGTTCTGAATATTTGGCACGATGCACAGCTTGCCTTATTTAGAAACTATGTGATAAAAGTAATGTGTCTTTCAAAGTGATCAAGAAATTATCAGGTCACAGAGTTTTATATCTACTTTACTTCCACTCTATTGCTCACTACCTTCTTTCCCTATTTCCCGACTTTATCTTTTATTACTAAAAATCTAAAAATGAAGTATCATTCATCTTCCTTACTTTAATGCCAAGTAAAAAGTGCTCCATTAATAATATATGGCTAATATTTAAAAAAAAAAAAAAAGATTTAAATGCAGTAATGGCCATAGCTTTAGGGTATTCTTAGGAGATACCCCAGACAAAACAAACTCAAGCACTCATGTTCCACACAATAACATGAGGCTTTTTTCTTTTCATATTACTCTTTACCTCCAAGTTGTTGCAATATCCATTTTTAAAAACAAGTCTTCCCCTGTAGTTACAAAGCAAAGTAAGAAGCAGAATACCACGATAATTACAGAAATAATGACTGTATATTGTAAGCATAATAATAATCAGGTACTTTTTAATGACTACTAAACCAATTTTTTAATTATGTATGTTAAGTGTATATACTCACTAGAAGAAAAAAAATCGGTTCTACCTACCTACTAGTTTTTATACACAACTTGATAACTTGTGTCTTCTTACTAATAGCACAATTATTAGGACAGGAACATATTAAAGAGATGAGAAAGTATCAGAAAAATTTCCTCAGCCTTGGTTTATCTTTCCCTGTTTCTCTTTTGTATATATACTGCAGCTGACTGGTCATCTTTCATTACCCTTTCACCCTATTCCTACCTAAAGACCTTCTGGGCTTCAAAGCAACAGGTATTCTGTATTATCTATTGTTGCTGTTGAATTAGACTGAGTTACAGGTTTAAAAAAAAAAAGGCGAACGAAATGCTTGGGATCACAAAAGATACACAGAAACCAAGGAAGAGTAATGGAGAATAGTTATACCCCACCAATAATTTACCTGGCAATTCTGGGATAGAGGTTCCCATCTGGACTTTATAACATTAAAATAGTGTCAAAAATCAAAGTACAGCTCTCCAATTATCAAGCTTATCAACTTATTTTTTGGAATAAAGCTCAATTTCATCTCTAACTAGCTTAAAAAACACATTTCACTCCAATGAGAAGAGCTTATTTTCCATCAGTATCTACAACAGTAGAAATAGCAAAGCTTTCTTTACTCCCTCTGAAAATTTTCCTGTTATACTCATGATTCCTGATACCTTCCCCTACCCCTGCATAGACACTAACTTCACAGGAAACCAAGACACTACACAGAGCACAATTATCCTACAAGACAATTTTAGCTTATCTCCCTGACTCTTCCCACCTCTCCTCAAACACACATAACTGAGAGGTCAGTGAGTTGACAGGACAATAATAAAAGTAAAGTGAGGCTCACAGAACACTTAATACTAAAATCTAAAATTCTAACATCATAACATCAAGGTGTCAATTCACTCAACTTTTAACCCATTTAGGAAGGTTTAAACTATTAACTTAAAAATACGGTAGTACTTCCTCAGTAACTATAACCTCTTTATATCCTCTTAATTGCCCATTTTAATAGCTTTACTGCATACTACTGCTTCTTATAAGAAGTAAATCCAGGGACCATTCCATTTTGTCTTAGACATAACATTTACTAGTTTTCCAAGCATGACAGAAATGGAAAAATATATATATAAGAACATGAACAATTTATGTTAATTTCCTCAATCTGTGTTCCTTCTGTGAGCAGCGCCTAATTCTATTAAAATTAACAAATTTTAAGATGAGTACTGGACTTCAGAAAAAAAAATCCAAGGAGGGACTAATTTACAAAGTATACAAGAATATAATTTTATAATAAATCTTTCCAGTGTTCGCTATAACTGCATTACATAAAATGTTTCCCTTCACAGAAACTCAGAAGAATAGCTCCTATAGAATGTTAACAGAGGGCCGGCCCGTGGCTCACTCGGGAGAGTGCGGTGCTGATAACACCAAGGCCCCGGGTTCGGATCCCACATAGGGATGGCCGGTTCACTCACTGGCTGAGCGTGGTGCTGACAACACCAAGTCAAGGGTTAAGATCCCCTTACCGGTCATCTTTTAAAAAAAAAAAAAAAGAATGTTAACAGAACTTTCTGTCTTCCTCTCTGGCAAGTAATGAAAAAATACAACTTGCTCACAAAAGATCTAAAAGTGCTGCCTCAGGAGCATAAACTATCACTAACATGCTGTATGAATGAGTCTTAGTGAGCGGCCACTTTCTGAGACCTTTTCCTCTTTTCACACCAGTGAACCCATCTCATATAAAGCCTAAGAGAAAACTAAAGCTGTTGCAGAAGTGAAACTCAGCATGCTCCACTCAAATTCTAAGGTAACCACTTTAAAGCAAAATCAGAAGTCATGTCTTTTACCAAAAAACAAACAAAAAAACCAAACCAAAAGGCAAATGCTGCTGCCCAACCATCAAATGGACTTACAAAGGCAAAAAAAAAAAAAAAAAAAAGTGACAACAGCAATAATTCAAGTAAAATATATGTGAAAATTTAAACACACCGCTTTCAAATTAAGACAAAAGTGAAGGGGAGCCATGATCTTTATATCAGAGTCAAAAAGCTTAGGCATTATCATCAAATGTTAATTCACTTTACAGTCATCCATGAGACTACTGCATATATTTTTTGCACCTTGCGCTTATAAAAGCAGATAAAATATTTAATGTGTAATTTACAATGTATTTTACCAGCTCAGCATACAGGATGTATATAGATTATATCAAAGTAGTAGACAGTTAGGGGCCTGTGCAAACCCTGCAAAAATAGTACTTCAGGTATCTAATTAAAAAAAAACAAAAACAAAAACATTTTGCTATTTAGAAGTGATACAATTCAAACTACCACAAAATACAAAGGGCTGCAAAAATGTATTCCATTCCAACAACATATATAAGTTATTAAATAAAGATTTGATTTAAAAGAATATAAATGAAGCCTTTATGTAGGTCTTTTCTACATGCATATTATTCCTCATTAAAGAAAAAAATATGTAAAAAGGCCATTGGTAATTGCTTTGTTAACATTTGTAGAAAATGCCAATTCTCTGGTCACAAACTCCACTAAGATTAGCACTTAAGGTCTCTGCAGTGTTATAAACGTAATTTAAAATACTGTTAATTCTATAACTCCATTGGTAAAATAATGTGACTCAGAATATGGCAGTCTTCATGTTGAGGGCAATGATCCACAGTTTTGTTTTGTTTTTTTAATTTCTTAGGTGTGAACAGTTATCCAGAAGAACAGCACCCTCCACCACCGCTCTGGGCTTGAGGTTCATCATCGATGATCTGTACACCTCGCCTTGCAGCTCCTGGTTGACTAGAGCCATTGCCTTTTGCCCTCTCATCCACTTGTGCTGTTTCTATCATCCCTAAGAGAGAAAGAAAGCAAAAATCATTAGGACCACAATCTTTGAATCTTCTCCTATAATTTCAGTATACCACTATGGTAACTGTTTCTGACTTTCAACCAACAAGAAAACTAAATATAATGAACATTGTTTCAGCTCACTAAAATAGCTTTATTTGCAAGTTTTAAAAAACTAGTGTCAAGTAGCAAATTTACTAATCCAATGGGATAAAGGCCCCAGTGACATCCAGAAAAAACATTTTTTTTGCTTTGAATAAAAGACTTTGTAGAAGTATAATCTTTAAGATTTTCCAAATGTAATTAGAAATACGTCAAAGTTGTTCAAATTTTTCCAAGTACAAGTGATATTTAGGGTACAGGACTTATTCTTCAACTAGAAATGTAATACATTTAAGCAAATGCTATTTGAAAGAATAAACGAGTTTAAGATAAGAGAGCTTTGAAGAATAAAAAGCTGGAAGACTCACACTGTCTGATTTAAAGATATAACATAAAGCTGCCTAATCAAGACAGTAAGATATTGATGAAAGGAGAAACATAGAGATCAGTGGAACAGAAAACAGAGTCCAGAAAAAGATCCCCACATATATGGTTACTTGATTTTTGACATACATGCCAAGGTTATTCAGTGAAGGATAATATATTTAACAATATTAAATAAGTACTAGAACTGAATATCTATTTGTAAAAAATAAACCTTAACTCATACCTTAACCCATATGCAAAAATCAATAAAAAATGGATTACAGACTTAAATGTAAATTATAAAACAAAATTTCTAGAAAAAAAACATAGGAGAAAAATTTTGTAGGAGAAAATTTTTGTGACTTTGGCTTAGACAAAGATTTTTTGTAAAAGATAAAAAACAAGTCAGAAAAAAATTAATAAATCAGACCTCACTGAAATTTAAAAGTTTTGCTCTCTGAGAGGCACAATTAAGAAAAATGAAAATACAACACACAGATTGGGAGAAAATACAGGGATCAAAAATATTTGAAAAAAACTGCATCTATACTAAATATGTACAGGCTTTTTTTCTTGTCATTATTCCCTAAAAAATACAGTATAACTACTTACATAGCATTTACATTGTTAGGTATTATAAATCATCTAGAGATGCTTTAGGGTTGGCTGATTAGCTCAGTTGGTTAGAACATGCTGTTAATAAAACCAAGGTCAAGGGTTCAGATCCCCATACTGGCCAGCTGGCAAATAAAAAAATAATCTAGAAATGATTTAAGTATAGCAGAGGATATGCACAGGATACGCAAATACTGTATCATTTTTATATCAGGGACTTCAGCATTCACAGATTTTGATATCTGCAGGAGGTCCTGGAACCAGTCCCCACAAATACCAAGGGATGACTGTATTTGCAAAATACATATCTGACAAGATGAGGGAAGAAAAGAGGAAGTCCTTAAAACAGAACAAGGGTTATTAAATTTGGATCCAAAGACTGCTCTTAAAACAATGGTTTCCAAATTGAGGTGTGTGGGACAATCCATTCAGATGAAGTAAGGAAACATTACAAATTTTATTTCTACTTATTTTTCTCAATCTTTCAAAATTTCTATCTTTTAGGTATGTTTTAAAATGAAAAAAAGTGCTTATATATTTTATATAATTTTTAAATAAACATGTGGACCATACTAAAAAATGTTTTGAAGATGTGAGATTTATAATATTTTGTAAGCCACTTATTTACAGCCTGGCTACTCTAAGTATGGTCTGAGGACTAGCATCATCACCACTCAGATGCTTGTAGAAATGAGAACCTCAAACCACACCAGACCTTCTAAATCAAATATGCATTTTAACAAGATTCTCAAGTGATTATTCACAGTAGTGGTTCTCATATTTTAGTGTGCACCAGAATCAAATGTAGGGTTTGTTAAAATATAGACAGATTCTGGGAACCATTGCCAGAGATTTAAATTCAGTAGGTTTGGGGTAGGGCCCCAAAATTTCCATTTCTAACATTCTCAAGTAATGCTGATAATGCTGATCAGGGGAACTCACTTAGATAATCTATTCTAGAAGAATTATGAATGACTTCCGAGTTTCATAAAACTAAAATCTACTCCAAAGTTTGTGTATATATATTTTTTTCTACAGAGAAAAACCATGGTTTCATTAAATTCTCAAAAGAGACTGAGGTACATAAACTCAAGGGATACAATTTGACAGTCATCACAACCTCTTATTCCACAGACTAAGGTTTTCCTGTTTGATATGCATTCTACCGGCGATATGAGAAATGACTTTCAGGTGATGTATAAACAAACGTATTTTCCTTTCTTTTTAAAAAGCTTTTTAATATGGCAAATTTCAAACACATACAAAAGTAGAAAAAAATAGCATAATAAAAATCTATCAACCAATTTTATCCATATTCCTAGCATCTCATTATTTAAATCAAATCCCAAATACATAATTTTATTAAAAAATTATCTTAATATGTTTCTCTAAAAGATAAAAACTCTCTTTTTAAAACAGAACCACAACACCATAATCACACCTAAAAAAAATTAATATCTTAAGCTTATCAAATATCCAATGAGTGAATATATTCCCAATTGTTTCACAAATGTTCTTCACTGGTTTGTCAAATCAGAATCCAAATACGGTCTATCTACTGCAAGAAGCTGTTACAGGTCTTAAACCTGTTTTAATCTGTAAATTCCCATTCCATCTTTCTTTTTGTAACTTTTAATAGTTATGCATATACTTTAATATGCATTAAACACATACCACACATATGATTTCATAACCATTAAGTACTGCCTGAAACAGGGCTAAAGTAGGTATTTAAGCTGTAAAAAATGAGTTAAAAAATAGAATAAAAAAAATTTTTAAAAATAATTTTTTAAAAATGAGTTAAAAATATTAAGTAAGGGGCTGGCCTGGCGGCGCACTGCTGCAGTGCGCCGCTTGGGAGCGCGGCGGTGCTCCCGCCGAGGGTTCGGATCCCACATACAGACCGGTTCCCGCTCACTGGCTGAGCGAGGTGCGGGCGCAACGCCGAGGGTTGCGATCCCGTTGCCGGTCCCAGTCCGGTACGGGCGCGACACTGAGGGTTGTGATCCGTTGCCGGACACGAAAAAAGACAAAAAGGAAAAAAAAAAAAATATTAAGTAAATAATAATACTGGTAGATGTGACAAATTATCAATGTGGTCGCTAACAGAGACTAGTAAAACATCACTTCAGAAATATTACCAATATTTTAAAAACAGCCATTTCTAAACTTACTAAATCTGAATATACCTACTTTTACAAAGGTCAAGAAAGAGTTCCTCAATTCCTTTGTTCTGTTTGGCTGAAGTATGATAATGTTTTGCTCCCACAGATTCTGCATACCTTTAAAAATAAAAGTAATATTAGTGACTGATGTAAAACATTTTTCATGTTTCTGTAATGACTATTTAAAATTATTTACAGTAGCAATTTTAGTGATTTATTAATTTATCCAAGTTTATTAAAATTACATAGCTATTTAACCTCTCTATACATTGAACCAAATTTTAAATAACATAAATATAAGACTTGAAATTTTATAGATTAATTTGGAATCCAAATACTTTAAAAGTATTTTGTGTCTCACTCCCTATTTGATCATAGTAATTTTCTTTTACACCACTCTCGTATTTTTTACTGAATTCAAAAAGGGAAGTGAGAGTGAAATATCTTTAAATATCATCAAAAAGTCCAAAAATTATCAATGTAAACATGTTTCACTGAATCCAATAGCTCAATCTACATTAAGAGGTGTGAGTAATATCTAAACGGTACAGCGCACTGTACAAAGAGGAAGACTTCTACTGGAGAGTGATGGGGGTCAGGGGGACACAACACTTACGATTCTGCTTCTTGAATGGAAACATGTCTCTCCTTTTCCAAGTCTATTTTATTACCTAATTTGAAAAAAGTAAATACTAATCTTTAATATTGATTCATTCTTATAATAAAATTAAGCCAACTCTAAATATACAATTGCTATTCTAATTAATTGCAAATATAATACAAATCCCCATCAGACTTCAAATGTTTTAAAACTATGAAGTTAACCACTATGATGTGAGGGTTGACCATGACGGTCAAGGTGAATGCCTTACTCTCCCTCACATGCCTCAAAGCACATCCCTCTTCAATCTGCAGCCTCTGTGAGAGAAAATAACTTTTCCAAAGAGATGGGCACTATTCTTTGATTTAGGGTATACCAGGGACTAAGGTTCCCTAACATTTCTAGGGAAACATACAATTCTTAGCCACATGTAAATGGTCAAAAGTAAGAGCAAAAATTTTCTATAGTCTCCAATCCACTTACAGCCAGTAAATAACTAAATATGGTTATCTTTCATCATTTACTAAAATAGGCTAGCATCTTGGAGCCTAAGAGTATTCTGGTTTTCTGGCTGATATAAACTGGTTAAAGTAAGAATTAATATGTATGGATTTTAAACTATACCATCACCAAGGGGAAAAAACTATACTGTTTAAAAAAACACTTTTAGTGACTTATTAGAACTTAATATATGTATATCATACAGATTTAAAATTACTGAAAATAAGTTTAGCTCTCCTTAAGCAATGGAATCAGAAATTATGTTAAAAAGCCACTAGAACAAAAATAAAGAAACTGCAAAATGCAGATTCCTTATTCAATACAGGATAGAAATTAAGGTGAATTGACCAAACACAAAGACTGATAAAGGTAACGGAAACAACAGATAGGAGTAGGGAAAAATACCCTAAGGCAAGACATTTCTAACAAATACATTCATTTCTTCTATTATAACTTTCAGGGGGGGAAAAGAGAAACCTTACAAATAAGGTCATTTTTTTTTCTTGATACTTTATAGAGTCTAGAAGACAATTTCAGATAAAGCAAGCACTGGAAAGTACAAGACCAGAGTTTTTGTATATTGAAGATCTCAAATAATCTGAGTGCTGCAAGAAACTACTTGCCACCATAGCCTAAGGGTAAAAGGGAGGAAAGTAAATGATACTAAAGCTCAATGAGTACCAACAAATTCAATAATAAACCCTCTCTTCTTTGAACTGTCTTGCTATCTACCTCAGCAAGAAGTTCCATATTAGTTCTGATTTCCTACATTATATTCTATCAATAAAATTTTTAATTTGTTAAATATTACAGCCAATATATCTGACAGTAATCAGAAGAAAAGTTATTTTACTCTATAAAGAATGCAAAAAGCACCACCTGGTGGCCAATGGCTCCAACAAACAAGCCCAAGATTTCTGCCTCTAAAAAGGTAAAATAGAGACTTTTCTCCCCTATGGAGAGCAATGACAACTTTGTTCCAATTAATTAAACCCTATGAATTTTTTTTAGATCTTTAATGCCTTGTTTTCCAAATTCTACCAGAATCATCAACACCTATATAAGAGTGAGGGTAGGTAGAGACAATCACCTTAATGTTCATCTCAGATGAACATTTAGGAGAAATTATTTAAACAGTGCTTTATTATTTAATAATATTTTAGACTTGACTAATTTTGATAAATCAGGTCATTATTAAAATAGCTATTTTAATAACCTAATTATTACCTTAAATTTAACAAATTTTAAATCCCTCTACTAAATAACTACCACTTCTTTGGATAATCAGTGTTCACAATGGATTGACAGCACAATGTCACAAAAAACTGACTTGTTAATGTCTGACATCTTTCCAAACTCAAAAACCTTTTTTGTACTTATTTTCTTTCAAAAGCCAGACAGCTAAGAAAGTAAGGCTATGAGGCTCATGTCTTTTTCATTACTACTGTGCAGCTATGTAGGGAAATTTCTGATAGGCCTAAAACACTTAAAAACAAGGACAACCACCAAAGTAAGCACCTACTTGAAAGTATATTGCTATGAAGGTTAAAAAGCAACAAGGCTATCGAAGAGGGAGGGGAAAAGCCATCCTAAGAATAGGAAAAACTTTATCTTCTTTAAAGATACATATTTGAATTAAAAACATGGAAGGAATGTGCCCATCGCTAAGGGCAGATGGCATAATAGTGATAAAGAACTAGAATCATATTTTGTTTAGACTAGATAATCATGCGGCATAGTGGAAAGCAGCTTTCAAAAAGCTTTTAAATCTAAAAAAAATTGTATTTAAGTCCTGGTTCACTTCATAGCTATAAGATTTTGGGAAAATTACATTATCTCTTGAAGTCTCACTTTGTACAAATGTAGCTAGCAAACCTTGCAGGATTGATGTGTAAATAAGATATGAATATGCAAAAGGCCTAGCATATACAGGTGTAGAATCCCTTATCTGAAATGCCTGATCACAAGTGTTTCAAATTTTGAATTTTTTCAGATTTTGGAATAACTGCAGAATACTGTACATTCAACCGGCTGAGCATCCCTAACCCAAAAACCCAATATCCAAAATGCTCCAATGAGCACTTCCTTTGAGCATCTTGTTGGTGCTCAGAAAGTTTTGGATTTTGGGGCATTTTGGATTTCACATTTTTTAGGTCAGGGCTGCTCAACCTGTAGCAAGTATATGCTCAGTAAAGAGTAAATTATTATTATTATTATTATTTTTTAAAAAGATGACCGATAAGGGGATCTTAACCCTTGACTTGGTGTTGACAGCACCATGCTCTCCCAATTGACCTAACCGGCCATCCTATATAGGGATCCAAACCCGTGGCTTTGGTGTTATCAGCAACACACTCTCCCAAATGAGCCACGGGCCAGCCCTAAGAGTAAATTATTAATATCAGCAATATTCATCATAGTGAATGATTAAATGGAAAATCAGTATTGTTATGAAAGAATTAAAGACCATGATAGTAACACACTCTACCACCACCCTGCTGACTTCATCTAGCTAACTTAGGTTTATCGAATACTTACTAGGAAATCTTCTTTTATCCACCCCCCTACCCCACAAAATCTAGTTAGGCTTGCTTTTGTGTTTTCACAACATTTCGTACTTCCCCTTACATGGCATTTATCGTAATATATCATAGTGGCTTGTTTCTCTCTCTCTCTCTCTTTACACAATAAGCTCTGGGAGAATAAGGCCCATATCTATTTTGTACATAAGTATACATTTTTTCACTACAGTACCCAAATCCTGGCACATAGCAAACAATATACAGTACTGACTAAGAATATGGGCTTTAAGCGGCAGGCAGACCTGAGTTAAAATTTGAGTCTACTTCTAACTATTTTGGGAAGTATCAAGCTCTCTAACCCAATTTCCTCATCTGTAAAATAGAAATGGTCTTCCTACAGAGTTGTCAGGAGACTTAAATGAAATAATAAATGTGTGGTTCTTAGAACAGTGCCTGGTACTCAATAAATGGTAACTATGATTAATAATAAATATTTGCTTAATAAACATACAAATGATAAGGACAGACTAGATACAGAACACTAGCAAGTAGAACAACCAGAGTCAAGAGTGCCAATCAATGAATTAATGACAATCTAGAAGAAAAAGCCTCTGCTAGTAAAGTATGGGGGTTCTTGACAACTGGTTAACACATGGTTACTAGTGGCTTAAATAAGGACATAGGAGATTAAGTATTCAATTTACACATAAAAAAAGCTAGTAAATTATGTATCAGACATAAAGATTCAAAAACATGTAACAAGTTGAAATTCCTACACTTAGGTTTAAATAACTTAATCACATAAGAACAAGCTGGGGAAAACCTCACTAAACAGCAATATTTATTAAAAAAGGACTTCAGGTTTTTGTTAACTATAATCTATATAAAAGAGACAATGAGTTGACATGGCTGGTAAAAAGCTTGTGCAATCTTGATAAAAGGACAGTGTGAGGATTAGAAAAAAAAGAGGGTCTGTAAGTATACACTGGCTCAACAACATGTGGATTCTAGTGTTTATTTCAAGTGTAGGAGACACACTGATATCACTGGAATAAACCCAGGAGAAAATAACCAGGATGATGAGAATGTCTAGAAGGTAAGCCAAATGAAAAACAGTTGAAAAATCCAGAGAATATAAGAAAGGAATAAAACACTTGTCAAATGTCTATCTCTATGCAAAATGTTTTCCAAATCGTTATATGAAGGTACTTCAAAAAGTTCGTGGAAAGATTTGTATTATCTTTTAACTCTATTTTTCCACAAGCTTTTTGAAGTACTCTCATATAATCTTCACCAAAATCCTATGAAATAGTATTATTATTTCAAAGTTGGTAATAAAACAGAAGAGAGAATAAACACTGAACTACTACAGAGAACAAAATAAAAATCAAGAAGTGAGAAAATAATGTAAATGTCTGTGGAATATTCACAGAAAAAGGATTAGACAGCAAAGAGAATAAAATAAACTATATCAACATACAACAACACAGAGGAATCTTGTAAGCCTAATGTAAAGCCAAAGAAGCCAGATGCTAAAGAGTTCGCATTATATGACCCCATTTGTATAAAACTTAAATCAAAATTAATTCATGAAGCGAAAAGTCAGCATAGTGTTAGGGGGGGGAGGGTGATGGTGAGGTTTGGAAGACAATTGTATAGTGTTTGGATGAGAAAGAAAAACAAATGGGCCTTCTAGGGTACTGTGCACATTTTCTGAAATTTTCATTTTGTGAAAATTATGTTGTTACTAAAGATTTGTACAGTTTTCTGAACAAATATTTTCAACAAAAAGTTCACTTTAAAAAATCAGGGCCGGCCCGGTGGCGCACTGCTACAGTGCACCGCTTGGGAAGCGCGGCGGTGCTCCCGCCGAGGGTTCGGATCCCACATACAGACCGGTTCCCGCTCACTGGCTGAGCGAGGTGCGGGTGCAGTGCCGAGGGTTGCGATCCCGTTGCTGGTCCCGGTCCGGTACGGGCGCGACACTGAGGGTTGCGATCCGTTGCCGGACACGAAAAAAGACAAAAAGGAAAAAATAAATAAATAAAAATAAAAAAATAAAAAATAAAAAATCAAACCAAGGTCAAGTGTTCGGATCTCCATACCACCAGCCGTCAAAAAAAAGAGTAAGAGAAGGTTACAGGGAGTATGATTTCAGCTAAACATGAAGAAAAATCCATCAAAATTAGTAAAAAATGTAGTAGCCTTTCTGATAAGAACAAAGAGTCACCTTAAGTCTTCAAACAACAGTAACTTGATTATCTAAAAGAGATTCTTGCATTGTGTCAGACTAGATAGGTTGTTCCCAAACACCAGTGTATATATAGGCTGAATCAGAATTATAGCAAGTGCCTGGCACAAAGGAGTCACTTAAAAATATTTGTGGAAAGGGGCCGGCCCGGTGGCGCACTGGAGAGTGCGCCACTTAAGTGCGCCACTTGGGAGCGCGGCGGCGCTCCCGCCGAGGTTTCGGATCCCATGTGGAGACCAGTTCCTGCTCACTGGCTGAGCGCGGTGCAGGCGCAACACCGAGGGTTGCGATCCCGTTACCGGTCAGTAAAAAAAAGACAAAAAGGAAAAAAAATATATATATATTTGTGGAAAGAAGGAAGATAGGGTAAAAAGAGGGAATTGATTAATTCCTAGTCCCATACATACAGATTCTGATTTAGCATATCTGGAATAAGGTCTGGAGAACTTTCAGGCATTTTTCTAAAGTTCTCCGGGTTATTTATCCTAATGATAACCAAGTTTAGGAACAATGATAATGGGCTCTCAAAATTATTCCAACTCTGAATTCCAATTAAAATTTCATGTCATACTTGCCAATAGAAGAGAATGGGAACTTTTTTTTTTGTCTTTTTTCGTGTCCGGCAACGGATCGCAACCCTCAGTGTCGCGCCCGTACCGGACCGGGACCAGCAACGGGATCGCAACCCTCGGTGTCGCGCCCGCACCTCGCTCAGCCAGTGAGCGGGAACCGGTCTGTATGTGGGATCCGAACCCTCGGCGGGAGCGCCGCTGCGCTCCCAAGCGGCGCACGGTAGCAGTGCGCCACCGGGCCGGCCCGAGAATGGGAGCTTTTAATACATCATACAATCATTAATACATTAAACGAGAAATATTTGACCCTACTTGAGGTAGTAAGCTACCAGATCCAATATTTGTAAACCTTTTATGAACATGAAGAACATATATACAGTTTAAATAAACTATTCATAAGCTTTTTTAACCCAGCTAATTTTTTTTTAAATGTTACTTGTGACCTTGGTCAAGTAAACAAGCTACTGAGGTTTCTTTGACTTTGTGTATATGTCAGTAATTTCTCTTTTCAGAAAGATGACCAAAATTAAACCTTCAGTACGTACATACTGTGGCCACTTCCACTCCTAGTAAATCCCATATACCACACAAAGCCATGCAAAATTCAGTAATGTCTAGCTGCAGGTTTGGCCCCAAACTCCTATGCGGTCTACTACTCCAGTGTTCTAGTCTGAAATATTCTGTCACAATACCTACCATCTAGAGTAAAAAGCAGAGTAAACAGTCTCATTGGCCTCTTCCCTGAGATGTGCACTCTGATCCAGGACTGTAAAGTACCAATCTAATGGTGACGAGATGCATGAAATGCAAACTCCAGTTAAAAATAAAAAATTCTTAGGGCCAGTCCGTGGCTCACTTGGGAGAGTATGTGCTGATAACACCAAGGCCACGGATTTGGATCCCTATATAGGGATGGCCAGTTAGCTCACTTGGGAGAGCGTGGTGCTGACAACTCCAACTCAAGGATTAACATCACCTTATTGGTCATCTTTAAAAAAAATAAAATAAAAATAAAAAATTCTTAAGACTAAAAACAAAACTTCTCCATGCTGACCATTCCATTCTTTCATTTCCTCAAATACCATCTTTGTCCTCCACTTAAACTTTTCTGTTTTCTCTCAGGTCATTCTTCCTATTATCAGCCATGCAGAAAGGAAGAGAAAACAGCACGAGGGGCTATACATCATAAGGATTAATATCATAAGCACAGGAGTTGGAATGACTTAAATTCAAATCCCATCTCTGACAGCCGCCTGATATTGGGCAAGTTATTAAGTATCTCCAGGACTCAGCCTCCTCTACAAAGCCCTCATAGAGTTTATGAGGACTACATGAGATAATGTCTGTTGTGTGCATAGCAAAATGTCCTGCATACTTTTATTGCTCAATAATTGTTATATCATAGAATAATCTACAGAAAAAGAGAACCAAAAAGAAATTCCAGAAGTCCGAAAGTTCTAGAGTTTATTTATCTAAGAATATTCTTCCACCCTATGATCACGATCTACTTGTATCCTTGCAGTCAAAGTTGTATTTGACTCGAAAATGTGTATAGTTAAATGTATAGGATAAGAACACTGGCTTAGGGCCGGCCCCGTGGTGCACTAGGGAGAGTGTGGCGCTGGGAGCGCAGTGACGCTCCTGCCACGGGTTTGGATCCTATATAGGAATGGCCGGTGCGCTCACTGGCTGAGCGTGGTGCGGGCGACACCACACCAAGGGTTGCGGTCCCCTTACCGGTCACGAAAAAGACAAAAAAAAAAAAAAAGAACACTGGCTTAAGTCATTGGCTTTAATTTTATTTTAAAGGTGTTCCCAAACTCTTTTTTCCTGAACAAAATCTTATGGTAGAAAAGTTAAGGTCAAATTAAAGTAAGGCTGGGGAACTTAAAGCCTCATGTGTTTAGCTTCCCATGTGCTGCTCTCCAAGGCATTCCTTGAACTACAGAGTTTGAATCTTCTGGACAATCACTGCCAAATCCTAAATTATTCTAAGATATTAAACATTAAAATGCTGTTCTTCCCTTCCATGTACCTTTTAAAATAAGAATTACGTGTTTACTATGTCTTTAATAAAACATTAAGGAAACATTTTAGAAAAAACATTTTCTAAAAGAGTAATGTTGCTTACCAACTATACATAAACAGATTTCATTTCCCAACATTTTCCGTAATTCTTTGACCCAGTTTTTTACCTGTGTATAGAAAAGAGCAAATATTAAAACAAATTCTGTTAGAACTACTACTATTACAACATCCAAAAATTCAGCATTGTCAAAATACCTCAGAATTTTGTCTAGCAGCTCATATACTTAGTCGTTACTAGGAATGATTCACTGAAGGATCATTTATTGCCAGATTATATTGCAAACCACATACATACAATATAAAATGGAAAGATCTTTCTCTATATCCATATGAGTATATACAGAAGCACCTCTAATTACAAATTTTCATAAATCTTTCACAGATCCAAGCTATTTGCCAAAACAAAAGCATGTCAACTCCAGCCTCTGATAATAGATGCTTATATATAAGTCAATTTGGACTTAGGAACACATGAGCTTAAAATAGTCTTTTGTATCCTAATTGGTTCCTAAATAGAGGGCATAGGAGTATCTGTGTCATATACCTAAAGAAAAAAAAAATGTACACAGGCACCAAAAAAGAGTAGCAAAATAAATTTTCATCAGTGTATGACAGGGATTTTCAACTTGGCACTAGGCTCAGGTAATTCTTTGTGCAATGTATGATGTTTAGCAGCATCCCTGGCCTTGTACCCACTAGACACCAGTAGCACCTTCCAATTGTGATAATCAAAGATGTCTCCGAACATTGCCATCCCCAAAAGAGAACCACTGGTGTACAATGACTCCAGTAACAAACTGATTTTACACTATGGATAAAGCATAGCAGTAAGCACAGTTGGGAGTAAACTGAAACTAAGTAAATTAATCTTTTGAACTCATGATATTAAATATGTTGATTATAATAAAATAGCAGGATAAAGAACAAACCTGGACACCTATTTTCATTTTTTGTGATGGAATTTAATCTGTATGCAATTAAATCACACACAACTTATATTCCTTCCTATAAAAAATACACACACATCTATAAATTGCAAAAATTACATTAGATATGTGGTAAGCACTTACTGTGCATTTGGTCCTACAGTATAAATGTAACAGTTCCACACTCCTATTCTCTGCAAGAATGCAGGGGAACTGTCTTTAGTAAACTCAAAACCCTTATAAAAGCAAAGGTAATTATCATCACCCCTTATCTTTAAAACAGCACTGAACCACAGCTTTCTGAGTACAGCCCTATCTTTTTGTTTCATTCACGTATATATACATCTTCAAAGTTTATTTCTTACTTGATTTCACATAAGAAAAATTAGACAGTATTGGTATAAAATGTACATCTGCATCACCTCAAAAGAAACATGCCAGAATCCAATTATATATTACTCTACTCCCTCTACATACAGTATCACAAGCTACTAATCTAACCATTCTTTATAAATTTGTTATTCATCTCCAATTAGAGCCGCCCCCCCCCCCCCCAAA